GTTAAATTAACGAGAGAAACAAAACTGAGAATGAAAGAGAGAAAGGAAAGGGGAATAAAAAAGCAGGCAAAAAAAAGGGAGAAGGGAACAAAGAGGTAAAACAGGAAGAGCAGCTAAAATAAAACAATGAAAAAGAAAAGCGTGTAGAAAAAGAAGGCGACACAAAATGGCGGTATAGATCAATAACGTTATAAAAATAAAAGCATAATAAGCGAGATTAAGTTTATACATTTAATTAGAGAAAAGGGGAAAATGACAAATAAAGAATGAGTAAGAAAGGAAATGAAAAAAAATGAAGTGTTTTTTTTTTTTTTTTTTTAAATAGTCTGTTGGAAGGGGATGATAGAAGAAAGGTGTCATGGTTCAAAGATAATTCGGAAAGATTAAAAAACTGTTGTGGAGAAATTGAGAGAAAGATTTTTTTTCAGTAATAAAAAGAATAAAAACCAACCAAGAAAGAAAGCAAAAAAGAAAGAAAAATGAAAAGTGGGAGGAGGGATAATAGTGAAGTTGAATATGGGCGGGGTATGTGGACTGGTGAGGAAAGGAACTCAGATTTTACCCAGATCTTCCTCACCTTTGTCTATGTTTACTGGTCAAATATTATCACAGTCTCCCTTGTACATTATAGCTACAGTTTCAGATGTGACCGACCGCCGCCATTTTTTTGATTCTGCCTATCTTCTTCCTCTCTACCGTTCTCTCAATTTCTCCCTTTCTCTCGTCATTTCCTCACTTAGTCTTCCTTTTCCTCCCCCTCCCTTCTTCGTTGATATTGTTTGCTTTTCCTCTTACAGTCACAAACCTAATGTGGACACTTGCAAACACTGCCTTTCACTCAGATGTACATACATGCTCGATTACACACACAGCACAATGATACGGAAAATCTCTTGGGCGCTTACCGTAGCGTTATGTCGGCTAGTAGATTAGTTTCGCATACTGGATCTTTTTTTTTTTTAATTCATCCCAAATAATGTAAAGTGACTTATCGCAAATATTAATTTACCCCAAGAAATTATAAAATTTAAATCTATGTTTGTTTTTTATAAAATGTTTGGCACACTTTTGAAATTATAAATCAAAATTTGTTTAGCTTGCTTCGCAACAACTCCCTCCAAACGTCAGAATGAAAACTTACCAAATTTCATGGAGTTATTCATATTTCGTAAGTGCGGATGGTATTCGAACTACTTACAAAGAAATTTTTAAAATTAAAAAAAAAATCTGTTTTTGGCTTGTTTATCGGAGAGAGCGCGAATGCAGACCTCACACTTAGAAATAGCGGGCCCGAGTGGTCCACATTTGGGGCAATTGCAAAGATCAACCCAACCAGAGCGCAATGGAAGGGAGAATTTGGTGTAAATATAAATTCTTTATATTTTGTTGTGAAATTAACAGTAAAGATCCCGTATACCAATTCCTTAATTTACTAACTTAGTCCACGAGTGCTCAACCATTGTGACCTTGTGCCCAACAAAGGTAAGTTTATCTAATATCTCCGACACCTCTTTGCATAGTAATGGTTAGCAGTCTAGTCTTATAGATTTGACCTACGCTCATGCTCCAAATGTGTGGCCTTATACCAAGTTAAGCCAAGTTTAATAACTACCTAGACGTTTCGAAATGAGTCAGTGATTAACGATCTAATCTCGGAGGGCATTACTTCTGAAGTAAGTTCGATCCTAACTGGGTTCATAACACTTTTAGCTTTGTTTGGACAGTTGAAATTTTTAGGATACATAATGAAGAAAGAGAGCTTGGAAAATCTGACACTCACAGGACAGATTGAAGGAGAGACAGAGGAAAGCAGCGAGTAATCTACCTAACGAGCTTGCGTAAACGGATAGCAGAACTGGGGTTGGGAGAGATGACGAAAAGACAAAGCTGTTAAGCTTCAAAATAGGATAGGAAGTTGTGGAGAGCCATGATCGACCACGTCCCGAAGAAAAAAGAATACTCGAATCCTTCGCTACCCGGTACTGGTTAATCACTAAGGCATCCAATGTAGCTAGTTCGATTCGCATTGGGCTTTTTACAATCATGGCCATTGTGCTAAAAAAGTCCCCCCTCTTTTTTTTTAATTTGAACTCTTCCATCTTGTATTTTCTTCTTTCTTTCCTATTTATTTTCTTTCTATTCCTAGCGGAGATAATTTGATTTCTATACCCCGCCTTCATATTCAAGGTCGTAAGAGGCAAGAAATTAACGAATAGGTTTGCGAAATAACTCGGTAAATTGAACTTTTAAGGTTCGTTCAGTTTCAGCGTAAATGTTGTAACTTTGTCACACGTACCTGATAACAGAACGAGCGCCTATCGCCGTCAAACTAGACACACACTTCTGTTATCATAGTGCGTGACTTAGTCAGTAACGCTGAAAACACCGGTTCTCGTTCGAGTTCGATCACCGAAGTTAAGCATCGTAGAGCCAGGTCAGTACTTAGATGGGGGACCGCTTGGGAACACCTGGTACTGTAAGCCCCAAAGTCCAACCCTTACCTCACAGTCGGTGGGGGGTGTAAACAGTAGTGTCAGGCTATGCCGCCCGGAACTTCGTTCCTGGTAGGGCCACCAAGGCGGACAGGTCTGACACACACGCCGGCTAACAAGGGCTCTGGTGAAAATCCAAGGAGCGTCTGCATCGGTAACCGGCGGCTTCTGGTCGTTCCTGTCTCTGCGTCTGTGGGAACCCCACGGCAAGCAAGAACGTTATCCGAGTAGGCCTGGGTACCCTACTTCTGTAATTTATCCCAAGAATCTTCTCATAACAGGAAGAAGCCGGCTCAATCCGCCCAGGGTGAATGCCGCATCAGTACAATACAGTAGTTATCATAGTGAATTCAGAGTTTTCCTTCTCCTAGACCAGTTGCCACTCAAAGCTATAGAACCTAGAACCCCAGTTTCTCCTGCTATTTACCCATAGCTGGAGAAGAAGAGGTGTATTCATACCGTTCGCAAGTGTATTAGTACATATTAGCAATGTAATAATTTCAACTAGAACTCGAACTCGGCTCCAGATTATTCTATCCGAGCCCCAATCCCTTACTCTACTAGACAACATCTACAAAATTTAAAGAAATCTTATAATCACAGCCTTTTATTTTGTTTTCTTTACAGATAAAAAAAAAGCAACAACAACAAACGCGACAACAAAATAAGATGGAAAAACAAAGTTAAAAATAATTAAGTATCTGTCTATATTTCTGAGATGAGGTATTATGTACACTATTTACATTATTCGGACCATTGTCCTCATCTTTGTTGCCATATTTATCACAACGTTTCGGCCGTTGTACGCTCCGGCCTTCTTCAGGTGGTTGGAATGGTCCGAATAATGTAAATAGTGAAAAATAATTAAATATAAAAAAAAGCTGTTTTTAGTAAATAACAATTTTTAGTGCACAATTTCTTTATCAAGATTTCAAGTGCGCATATCGATAGATGTAAAACTGTTTAAAATAAAAACGAGGTTATTTTAAAAAACGAGGTTATTTTAAAAACAATAACGTTTGAATTTAGAAAGAATAAAGCGTTATTAAATTAACAATATAGGCACTATGAAAAAAATAATCCCCTAACAGTCAGTGGACTCATAGTGTAACTCTCAACGTAAATGTCCAGTTTATTATTTAAGCATAAAATGAATTTTAACGAAAATGGAATGAAAGAAAAATCAAACCCAACTAATTTTGCAGGTTACTTCCTTATATTAACACACCTAGTTGCCGTATTGTAGGTCTGCCAACGATTGTTGAATGAATTGCACGTCTACCATAGAGTGATGTTAAACAAACTCGTTTCACAAGCCATTTCGAGAGTGCATTGCGAGTTCCATTCTCGTGGGGCCCCCCACCTATTGCGAGTGCATGCTCTTTGGAATGCGTTATCAGTCAAAGTATAACCTCTCGATCATCGGATAATCGAAGTGGCACATAATAACGTCAGGTGAGGATGTGATTAAATAACGGTATTCATACAAGATACGACAGCTGACAAGATACTATGTTTCGCTTAAACGAAATCTATCAATAATTTGAAAGTGATCTATATTTTTTTCTAGGATGAATTTTTTTTTTTAAAGATTAATTACCACGACTACCCTTTCATTTTATCACAATTTCATTCATTCTTAGGGTGCTCGTTACTGAAGTATCAGACATTGCTTTGAGAGAATATGTTTTCCCTCTCAGCCGAGGCGTGTATTTGCCTGTTTCCAGGGTTATTTGACCTATTCGCTTCCAGTTAACGCCTTAACACATTGACAATTTTTATTATGACGTTGACTACGAGATCTCGTACTGTCTACGAGTTATCGCGTACTTGTCATCAAAATCCTTTATTCACTTATATTTTAGCTTCACTTTAACTTTAACGGATATTACATCCATACCTTAAGCAAGGCAGTAAAGCTACTAAGGCGCAAAGGGTTACTGAGTGTGAAAGAATATAAGGAAAATAAAATACTATTAAGGAGAGAGAATAAAAAAAAACAGGAATTAAGAAGACCAAAGATAACGGTTGACTTTGTTCACTGAGAAGCCAGAAGCCAGAAAAGAGTTGCACATGCGAGAAGTGCGAGAGAAGAAATTCCCAGCATAGAACTTACGGTTAGATCTATCCATTTCAACTATAAAATGATGAGATCTTACTGCCAATCTAGTACTGCGTTTAAATTCATAAAGTTTAGATATCATAGAAGAAAGTTCATCAGAGCAATTACCATGTCTTTATAGAACTGCACCGGGAAACTACGGTACGGCGGTGGGAAAATGACTGAAGCCGAGATGCCAGGTCAAGACCAATACCATTGTATACTCTTTGAACATTTTTTAAGAATCTCTAAATACATAGAAGAAGCACCTGACCAGATGCGGCAGTAATATTCAAAGCATAGACGAAAGTTAGACTTACAAATGTTTAAGATATATTTTACCGAGAAAAAATGATCTAGTACGACACAGTGAACCAACTTTCCTAGCAGCAGATCTAGCAATTGATTCAATATAATATTTCTACTTCATGTCAGCGGAAAAAGTTAGCTTGAGAAGGTGTAATGAGTAACAGTCCCGGAGGTTAACATCAGCCATGCAAAAAAAAAAAAAAAAAAGAATTTATTTTCAAAAATCATAATTTTATTAGGAATTTTATAAAAAAATAGGATTTCTGAAGATATATTCAGTTTCATAATCAAGTCTCATCATCAGTGAATGTAATCTCCGCGAAACACCAAGTAGAGACAAGATAAGTGAACATTTAATTTTATTTATTGCTGCTAACTCCCAATCCCTTGATATTGAACACTATAATTACCAAAAATATTTTCCTCAAAAACGTTATCCTCTTGAAATACTATGGTCAAACTTTTTTTTCTTTGGCAAAATGCAATCTTAGTTACACACACACAACAAACACTTTACATATATATATATATATATATATATATATATATATATATATATATATATATTAATGGTCAGAGTTGAATCAGACCAAGGAACAGTAGTATCAAAAAGTGCTATATATATATATATATATGAGAGAGAGAGAGAGAGAGAGAGAGAGATATGTGTGTTTAGGTTTTCGACACACTCAGGCATGTATGAATATATACTTAATGTATCACACGCATACAGTGATATGTATTGATAGGCGTACACACGATTTTCCTTATTACTTCTTGACAGAGCATCGGAAGAGTATGTCTGTCAAATCCTCCCGGCTATTTTCCCAGTCATACGTCGCAATCATTTCCAATAATTCTTTTTGTAGTCCCTTTCCGCTTTCATTAAAGACAATCTACCGGACCCATTTTTTTTTCTCTTTTCTTCCAAAAAGTTCCAGCCCCTCTTGAAACATCTGGACCTTTCTGGCACCTCTGAATAGTGCAGGGTTCAGTCCACTAACCTAAGGCGGTGGAATGAGGTGGTTGTGAGAAACAGCGTAATTTAAAAAAAAAACCAAAAAAATAAAACCCAAAGAACAGATCATCAACAAAAGTGGACAAATGGAGGCAACACAATGACGCGACGTGAACAACTATAAAAGTTCAAGGATAATAATAATGATGGTAATAATGAGAACAAAGATAAGACATTTTTATACTGAGGTTTGCAAATGCTGATAATGTTTGTCAATTACTATTAATGATGACGATGATGATGATAAAAATAATAATTAATAGCAGTTATCATTGTAATGCTAATATTAGCCGTTTTTTATAAGGAAACATTCGACGTTCATTGACCGAGCAGCCAGAACTCCTATCGGTTGTAATTTATAAAATCTTTCTCTTAAAACAATTCTTCAGGAAAATAGGTTTCTCAAGTCCAGTAGCTGTTATCGCTCTTTCCAGTTTTGATGGAAACTTTCTTTTCGGATGTAATTTATAAAATCTTTCTCTTAAAACAATTCTTCAGGAAAATAGGTTTCTCAAGTCCAGTAGCTGTTATCGCTCTTTCCAGTTTTGATGGAAACTTTCTTTTCGGATGTAATTTATAAAATCTTTCTCTTAAAACAATTCTTCAGGAAAATAGGTTTCTCAAGTCCAGTAGCTGTTATCGCTCTTTCCAGTATTGATGGGAGTTTCATTCTCAACCTTTTATTTGAAGTATTGTGGAATGTCAATATATTCATTATGTCATTATTTTTTTTTTAGTTACATGTGACGTCCATTTTGGTTATTGCTGATGTTGAAGGTCCTCAAGTGATGTCGTTTCTGTTATCTGGTACACTTCTATGTGATTCTGTAGCGCCAGTACACCCGGTTCAAAAAAGGATTGTCTTCGTCAAAATTCACAAGGCTTCACTCACTCAAAGCTAATTTTAATAAGTGATCTGAGAAAACGGTTGTATGTAGATGAGAGTTTAGATATTTCTGAATGAGTTTGGTGCCATTCATGATATCCATATGAAAGTATCGATTTGACGAGGATCTTTAAGAAGATGGCTCGAGTTTTCAGATTAATGTTTTGGTTTTGTAGCAACTTGTGGTGTTGGGCGAAACTAACTCGAGCGCAACACACTCTAAATTCGATATCTTTATCTCCTGTACTAAATTTGTTATAACTGATATATTTGAAATGTTTAGTATTTACTAAATCCACATCCTGAATTTTTATGATTATACTCTTGTAAGCTAGAAAAGGTTACTGAATGAGGAATAACAAAACGGATGTTGGAAATGAAATGGTAATCTTTTTAACATTAACAAAATGCAATACTCGCCAGCGGCGTGAAGTAGGTAAACCACTGCTCGTGGTGGACTACGTAGACAGCATATTACCCCCACTTACAATAGTGTGCAAAGTATTTATGAGTATGGTATATAAAATATACATATAGGATTAAAAGAATAGTTTCAATGAAAATAATTACAGTAGTATCAAAAATAATAACAAAGTAGGTTGAGACAAATAGATTACAAAGAACAATGTTAATAGCAAATATTCATAAGTTAAAGATGAACTATCAATAAGTTACGAGACTAGCACTCGGCAGTCTTCTTGAAAAAGAAAAAAAAAGGTTTTCTTATATGTGCCGTGTCCTTTCAGAACGTTGGGGATCATGGCTCTCTACAATTTCCTGTGCTTTGTAGATCTTAATAAATGTTACCTTTTTTTATCTTTCCTAAATTCTTTTCTGCCATCCATTTACTCAATATCGCTAGCTAGGCTACCCGTTGTTTCCTCTGTTCCTGTTGCCTGTGTGTGTATGTGAATTACATGTCACTATATTAGAGGGTGCAGCAGAAATACTTCCCACATATACCTTCAATTAATACCTTCCATATAATAGTAAGACATTAGTGGCAATGGTGTCTTCTTCTAGCTAATGGCTTACCATTATGTGGCTGGTATTCATGGGACGTATATGTGGTAGGTAATTCTGCCGTACTCTATATTGATTAGGTATTCAGCAACCCAAGTTTGGTCGAAAGACATTATTTCTAAGGACATTTTTGATTGCACGTATTCATTTGGGAAAGGTATGAATCTAGTTCTTCTAACCACTCCAATTATGGATTAAATAGCAAAGCAGGCTGTTCTCTCTAGTCCTGGTCAAGAAGAAGAACTTTGAATTGAAAACCCAACCACATGAAACTATAAAAAGATAGTTTGATACGGGGTGAGGATGCTATGTCTGTAAAAAAAAAAATAAAAACAAAAACATTATAGATTTCAACCATTATAGATGATTCAACTGGCATTGGGACCATGGAAAATGGATGGATGAAATAATAATATATATATATATATATATATATATATATATATATATATATATATATATATATAAAAAAAAATAAATTTTTTTTTTGCTTGCTACTTTTGACTTTTCAGACATTCACTTTCTTTCTTTTTTTTTTCTACTTCCTCTTTTCAGACATTCACTTTCTTTCTTTCTATCTACTTCCTCTTTTCAGACATTTACTTTCTTTCTTTCTATCTACTTCCTCTTTTCAGACATTCACTTTCTTTCTTTCTATCTACTTCCTCTTTTCAGACATTTACTTTCTTTCTCTCTTTCTACTTCCTCTTTTCAGACATTTACTTTCTTTCTCTCTTTCTACTTCCTCTTTTCAGACATTCACTTTCTTTCTTTCTATCTACTTCCTCTTTTCAGACATTTACTTTCTTTCTCTCTTTCTACTTCCTCTTTTCAGACATTTACTTTCTTTCTTTCTATCTACTTCCTCTTTTCAGACATTTACTTTCTTTCTCTCTTTCTACTTCCTCTTTTCAGACATTTACTTTCTTTCTCTCTTTCTACTTCCTCTTTTCAAACATTTACTTTCTTTCTTTCTATCTACTTCCTCTTTTCAGACATTTACTTTCTCTCTTTCTACTTCCTCTTTTCAGACATTCACTTTCTTTCTTTCTTTCTTTCTTCTTTCTCTTTTCAGACATTTACTTTCTTTCTCTCTTTTCTACTTCCTCTTTTCAGACATTCACTTTCTTCTTTCTTTCTATCTTTCTTTCTTTTCCTCTTTTCAGACATTTACTTTCTCTTTTCTCCTCTTTTCAGACATTTACTTTCTTTTCTTTTTCTACTTCCTCTTTTCAGACATTTACTTTCTTTCTCTCTTTCTACTTCCTCTTTTCAGACATTCACTTTCTTTCTTTCTTTCTATTCTTTACTTTCCTTCTTTTTCTAGACATTTACTTTCTTTTTCTCTCTTTCTACTTCCTCTTTTCAGACATTCATTTCTTTCTCTCTTTCTTTTTTTTTCTTTTCCTCTTTTCAGACATTCACTTTCTTTCTTTCTATCTACTTCCTCTTTTCAGACATTTACTTTCTTTCTCTCTTTCTACTTCCTCTTTTCAGACATTCACTTTCTTTCTTTTCTACTTCCTCTTTTCAGACATTTTACTTTCTTTCTCTCTTTCTACTTCCTCTTTTCAGACATTTTTCTTTCTTTCTCTCTTTCTTACTTCCTCTTTTCAGACATTTACTTTCTTTCTCTCTTTCTTTCCTCTTTTCAGACATTTACTTTCTTTCTCTTTTCTACTTCCTCTTTTCAGACATTTACTTTCTTTTCTCTCTTTCTACTTCCTCTTTTCAGACATTTACTTTCTTTCTCTCTTTCTACTTCCTCTTTTCAGACATTCACTTTCTTTCTTTCTTTCTACTTTCTCTTTTCAGACATTCACTTTCTTTCTCTCTTTCTACTTCCTCTTTTCAGACATTCACTTTCTTTCTTTCTTTCTACTTCCTCTTTTCAGACATTTACTTTCTTTCTCTCTTTCTACTTCCTCTTTTCAGACATTTACTTTCTTTCTCTCTTTCTACTTCCTCTTTTCAGACATTCACTTTCTTTCTTTCTTTCTTTCTTTCTTTCTTCCTTCTTTTCAGACATTTACTTTCTTTCTCTCTTTCTACTTCCTCTTTTCAGACATTCCTTTCTTTCTCTCTTTCTTTTCCTCTTTTCAGACATTTTTTCTTTCTTTCTCTCTACTTCCTCTTTTCAGACATTTGTTTTCTTTCTCTCTTTCTACTTCCTCTTTTCAGACATTTACTTTCTTTCTTTCTCTTCTTTTCTACTTCCTTTTTTCTTTCATTCCCTTTTCTTTCCTTTCTTTTTCTACTTCCTCTTTTCAGACATTTCTTCTTCACATTCCTTTCTTTCTTTCTCTCTTTCTTTCTTCCTTCTTTTCAGACATTCACTTTCTTTCTTTCTTCCTTCTTTTCAGACATTCCTTTCTTTCTTTCTCTTTCTTTCAGACATTTCCTCTTTTTCAGACATTTACTTTTTCTTTCTTCCTCTTTTCTTTTTACTTCCTCTTTTCAGACATTTTCACTTTCTTTCTTTCTATCTACTTCCTCTTTTCAGACATTTACTTTCTTTCTCTCTTTCTACTTCCTCTTTTCAGACATTCACTTTCTTTCTTTCTTTCTACTTTCTCTTTTCAGACATTTTTTCTTTCTTTCTCTCTTTCTACTTCCTCTTTTCAGACATTCACTTTCTTTCTTTCTACTTCTTTTTCTTTTCAGACATTTTTCTGTTTTTCTTTCTCTCTTTCTACTTCCTCTTTTCAGACATTTACTTTCTTTCTCTCTTTCTACTTCCTCTTTTCAGACATTCACTTTCTTTCTTTCTATCTACTTCCCTCTTTTCAGACATTTACTTTCTTTCTCTCTTTTTCTCTACTTTCTCTTTTCAGACATTTACTTTCTTTCTCTCTTTTCTACTTCCTCTTTTCAGACATTCACTTTCTTTCTTTCTTTCTACTTTCTCTTTTCAGACATTTACTTTCTTTCTCTCTTTCTACTTCCTCTTTTCAGACATTCTACTTTCTTTTACTTTCTTTCTTTCTTTCTCTTTTCAGACATTTACTTTCTTTCTTTCTTTCTACTTCCTCTTTTCAGACATTCACTTTTCTTTCTTTCTTTCTTTCTTCTTCCTCTTTTCAGACATTTACTTTCTTTCTTTCTTTCTACTTCCTCTTTTCAGACATTTTTTTCAGACATTTCTTTCTTTCTCTCTTTCTACTTCCTCTTTTCAGACATTCACTTTCTTTCTCTCTTTCTACTTCCTCTTTTCAGACATTCACTTTTTCTTTCTTTCTTTCTTTTACTTCCTTTTCTTTCTTTCTTTCTTTCTTTCTTTTCAGACATTTGCTTTCTTTCTCTCTTTCTCTTCTCTTTTCAGACATTCTTTTTCTTTCTTTTTTCTACTTCCTCTTTTCAGACATTTTCTTTCTTTCTTCTTTCTTTTCTTTTCAGACATTCACTTTCTTTCTTTCTTTCTTCTTCCTCTTTTCAGACATTTTACTTTCTTTTCTTTCTTTCTTTTCTTCTACTTCCTCTTTTCAGACATTCTTTTTTCTTTTTCTTTCTTTTCTTCCTTTCTTTTTTTTTAGACATTTACTTTCTTTCTTCACTCTTTCTTTCTTCCTCTTTTTCTTTCACTTTCTTTCTTTCTTTCTTTTTAGTTCCTCTTTTCAGACATTCACTTTCTTTCTTTCTTTCTTTCTTCTTCCTCTTTTCAGACATTCACTTTCTTTCTCTCTTTTTCTTTACTTTCCTCTTTTTCTTTCTCTTTTCAGACATTCACTTTCTTTCTCTTTCTTTTTTCCTCTTTTCAGACATTCACTTTCTTTCTTTCTTTCTTTCTTTCTTTTCAGACATTCTTTCTTTCTTTCTTTCTACTTCCTCTTTTCAGACATTCTTTCTTTCTTTTCTTTCTTCTCTTTTCTTTTAACATTTTTTTTTTTTTCTTTCTTTCTCTTTTTTCTCTTTTCAGACATTCACTTTCTTTCTTTTTCCTTTCTTTTTCTTTTTTTCCTTTTCTTTCTTTCTTTCTACTTCCTCTTTTCAGACATTCACTTTCTTTTTTTCTTTCTACTTCCTCTTTTCAGACATTTTTTCTTTCTTTCTTTTTCTACTTTCTCTTTTTTTTCACTTTCTTTCTTTCTTTCTACTTCCTCTTTTCAGACATTCACTTTCTTTCTTTCTTTCTACTTTCTCTTTTCAGACATTTACTTTCTTTCTTTCTTTCTACTTCCTCTTTTTTCAGACATTCACTTTCTTTCTTTTCTTTACTTCCTTTTCAATTTTCACATTTATTTCTTTCTTTCTTTTCTTTCTTTCTTTCTTTCTATCTTTTCCTCTTTCAGACATTTACTTTCTTTCTTTCTTTCTTTCTTCTTTCTCTTTTCAGACATTCACATTCTTTCTTTCTTTTTTTTCTTTTACTTCCTTTTTTCAGACATTCATTTCTTTCTTTCTCTCTTTCTACTTCCTCTTTTCAGACATTCACTTTCTTTCTACTTCTCTTTTTTTGGGACATTCACTTTCTTTCTTTCTTTCTTTTTCCTTTCTTTTCAGACATTCACTTTCTTTCTTTCTTTCCTTCTTTTCAGACATTCCTTTCTTTCTTTCTTTCTTTCTACTTCCTCTTTTCAGACATTCACTTTCTTTCTTTCTTTCCTTCACTTTTTTCTCAGACATTCTTTTCTTTCTTTCTTTCTTTCTTTCTTTCCTCTTTTCAGACATTTTCTTTCTTTCAGACATTCACTTCTCTTTTTCTCTTTTCAGACATTTACTTTCTTTTTTTCTACTTTCTCTTTTCAGACATTCACTTTCTTTCTTTCTTTCTACTTTTCTCTTTTCAGACATTCACTTTCTTTCTACTTCCTCTTTTCAGACATTCACTTTTCTTTCTTTTCTTCTTTTCATTACTTTCCTTTCTTTCTTTTCTTCACTTTCTTTCTTCTACTTTCTTTTCAGACATTTACTTTCTTTCTTTTCTTTCTATCTTCCTCTTTTCAGACATTCACTTTTTTCTTTCTTTCTTTCTTCACTTTCTCTCTTTTCAGACATTCACTTTCTTTCTCTCTTTCTCTTCCTCTTTTCAGACATTCACTTTCTTTCTTTCTTTCTACTTTCTTTTCTTTTCAGACATTCACTTTCTTTCTTTCTACTTCCTCTTTTCAGACATTCCTTTCTTTCTCTTCTTTCTACTTCCTCTTTTCAGACATTCACTTTCTTTCTTTCTTCTTTTTTCTTCCTCTTTTCAGACATTCACTTTCTTTCTCTCTTTCTAAATTTCTCTTTTTCAGACATTCACTTTCTTTCTACTTTTAGACTTCCTCTTTCAGACATTCACTTTCTTTTCTTTCTTCCTCTTTCCTCTTTTTCAGACATTCACTTTCTTTCTCTCTTTCTACTTTCTCTTTTCAGACATTTACTTTCTTTCTCTCTTTCTACTTCCTCTTTTCAGACATTCACTTTCTTTCTTTCTTTACTTCTATCTACTTCCTCTTTTCAGACATTCACTTTCTTTCTTTCTTTCTACTTTCTCTTTTCAGACATTTTTCTTTCTTTTCTTTCTTTCTTTCAGACATTTTCTTCCTCTTTTCAGACATTCACTTTCTTTCTTTCTTTTTCCCTCTTTTCTTTACTTTCAGACATTTTCCTCTTTTCAGACTTTCTTTCTTTCTTTCTTTCCTCTTTTCAGACATTCACTTTCTTTCTTTCTATCTTTCCTCTTTTCAGACATTTTAAAAGCTTTCTCTCTTTCTACTTCCTCTTTTCAGACATTCACTTTCTTTCTTTCTTCTACTTTCTTTTTTTTTTTTCAGACATTTTTCACTTTCTTTCTCTCTTTCTACTTCCTCTTTTCAGACATTCACTTTCTTTCTTTCTATCTACTTCCTCTTTTCAGACATTTACTTTTCTTTCTTTCTTTCTACTTCCTCTTTTCAGACATTTTTCTTTCTTTCTATCTTTCTTTTCTTTTTCTTTCTTTCTTTTCTTTCTTTTCAGACATTCACTTTCTTTCTTTCTATCTTTTCCTCTTTTCAGACATTTACTTTCTTTCTTTCTTCTACTTCCTCTTTTCAGACATTTCTTTCTTTCTTTCTACTTTCTTTCTTTCTTTCTACTTTTTCTTTTCAGACATTTTCTTTTCTTTCTTTCTTTCTTTCTTCCTCTTTTCAACATTTACTTTCTTTCTTTTTTTTCTACTTCCTCTTTTCAGACATTCACTTTCTTTCTTTCTTTCTACTTCTCTTTCTTTTCTTTCTTTTCTTTCATTTAAAAAACTTTCTTTCTACTTCCTCTTTTCAGACATTTACTTTCTTTCTTTCTTTCTTTCTTTTCTTTCTTTCTTTTTTTTCCGAAAGACATTTTTTTTCTTTCTTTCTTTCTTCCTTTTTCAGACATTTCTTTCTTTCTTTCTTTCTACTTCCTCTTTTCAGACATTTACTTTCTTTCTCTTTTCTACTTCCTCTTTTCAGACATTCACTTTCTTTCTTTCTTTCTTTCTTCCTCTTTTCAAACATTCTTTCTTTCTTTCTTTCTTTCTACTTCTCTTTTCAGACATTCACTTTCTTTCTTTCTATCTACTTCCTCTTTTCAGACATTTACTTTCTTTCTTTCTTTTCTTTCTCTTTTCAGGACATTTTCTTTCTTTCTTTCTTTCTACTTTCTCTTTTTTTTCTTTTCTTTCTTTCTTTCTTTTTTTCTCTTTCTTTCTTTCTTTCTTTCTTTCTACTTCCTCTTTTCAGACATTCCAAACTTTCTTTTCTTTCTTTCTTTTCTTTTATTTCCTTTTTTTCACTTTCTACTTTCTTTCTTTTTTTTCTTTCTTCCTTTTTTCAGACATTTTTTCTTTCATTTCTCTTTCTTTCTTTCTTTCCTCTTTTCAGACATTTTACTTCTTTCTTTCTTTCTTTCTTCCTCTTTTCAATTTATTTTTTTTCTTTCTTTCTTTCTACTTCCTCTTTTCAAGACATTTCTTTCTTTCTTTCTTTTCTTTTCTTTTCTTTCTTTCTTTCTTTTCAGACATTTTCTTTTCTTTCTTTCTTTTTTTTTCTTCATTTTCCTTTTTTGACATTCTTTCTTTCTTTCTACTTCCTCTTTTCAGACTTTCTTTCTTTTCTTTCCTTTTTTTCACTTTCTTTCTTTCCTTTTTCAGACATTTTTCTTTCTTTCTTTTTCTTTCTACTTCCTCTTTTCAGACATTCACTTTCTTTCTTTCTTTTCTACTTCCTCTTTTTCAGACATTTACTTTCTTTCTTTCTTTCTTTTCCTTCTTTTCAACATTTCTTTTCTTTCTTTCTTTCTTTCTTTCTTTTCAAACATTTTCTTTCTTTTTTCTTTTCTACTTCCTCTTTTCAGACTTTAACTTTCTTTTTTCTTTCTTTCCTCTTTTCAGACATTTCACTTTCTTTCTTTCTTTCTTTTTACTTCCTCTTTTCAGACATTCACTTTCTTTCTTTCTTTTTTTATCCTCTTTTCAGACATTTACTTTCTTTCTTTCTTTCTTTCTTTTCCTTTTTCAGACATTTTTCTTTCTTTCTTTCTTTCTACTTCCTCTTTTCAGACATTCTTTCTTTCTTTCTTTCTTTCTTTCTTTCTTCCTCTTTTTTTTTTCAAACATTTAACTTTCTTTCTTTTTTTCTACTTCCTCTTTTTTCTTTCTTTCTTTCTTTCTTTCTTTCTACTTCCTCTTTTCAGACATTTACTTTCTTTCTTTCTTTCTACTTCCTCTTTTCAGACATTTTTTTCTTTCTTTCTTTCTACTTCCTCTTTTCAGACATTTATCTTTCTTTCTTTCTTTTTTTTTTTACTTTCTTTCTCTTTCCTCTGATTCAGACATTCACTTTTCTTTCTACTTCCTCTTTTCAGACATTCACTTTCTTTCTTTCTTTCTACTTCTCTTTCAGACATTTTCTTTCTTTCTCTCTTTCTACTTCCTCTTTTCAGACATTTTAACTTTCTTTCTTTCTTTCTACTTCCTCTTTTCAGACATTCACTTTCTTTCTTTCTTTCTACTTCCTCTTTTCAGACATTTTTAATTCTTTCTTTCTTTCTTTCCTTCTTCACTTTTATTTTTTCTTTCATTTACTTTCTTTCTTTCTTTCTTTACCTCTTTTTCAGACATTTACTTTCTTTCTTTCTTTCTTTCTTTCCTCTTTTTCTACATTTTTCTTTCTTTCTTTCTCAGACATTTCTTTCTTTTCTTTCTTTCTTTCTACTTCCTTTTTTCAGACATTCACTTTCTTTCTTTCTTTTTCTTTCCTTTTTCAGACATTCTTTCTTTCTTTCTTTCTACTTCCTCTTTTCAGACATTTACTTTCTTTCTTTCTTTCTTTTCTTTTCCTTTTTCAGACATTCCTCCAAAAAAAGCTCTTTCTACTTCCTCTTTTCAGACATTCTTTTTTCTTTCTTTCTTTTCTACTTCCTCTTTTCAGACATTTTACTTTCTTTCTTTCTTTCTTTTCTTTCTTCCTCTTTTTTTCTTTTCATTCACTTTCTTTCTTTTCCTCTTTTCAGACATTCTTTCTTTCTTTCTTTCTACTTCCTCTTTTCAGATTATTCACTTTCTTTCTCTCTTTTCTTTTCCTCTTTTCAGACATTCACTTTCTTTCTTTCTTTCTTTCTACTTCCTCTTTTCAGACATTTTATTTCTTTCTTTCTTTCTTTTTTCTTTTCAGACATTTTCTTTCTTTTATTTTTCTTTTCTTCTTTTTTCTTTTCACACATTTACTTTTCTTTCTTTTTTTCTTTCTTCTTTCCTCTTTTTTTTCATTTCTTTTTTCTTTCTTTTTTTACTTTCTTTTCAGACATTTACTTTCTTTCTTTCTTTCTTTCTTCCTCTTTTCAGACATTTCACTTTCTTTTTTTTTCTTTCTTTCCTCTTTTCAGACATTCTTTCTTTCTTTTTTTTTCTTTTCTTCTTCCTCTTTTCAGACATTTTACTTTTAGCTCTTTCTTTCTACTTCCTCTTTTCAGACATTCCTTTCTTTTTAACGTTTTCTTTTACTTCCTCTTTTCAGACATTTTTTTTCTTTCTTTTCTTTCTTTCTTCCTTTCTTTTTTTCATTTACTTTTTTTTTTCTTTCTACTTCCTCTTTTCAGACATTTACTTTCTTTCTTTTTTATTTTCTACTTCCTCTTTTCAGACATTTACTTTTCTTTCTTTCTTTCTTTCTACTTCCTCTTTTTCAGACATTTCCTTTCTTTCTTTTTCTTCTTCCTCTTTTCAGACATTTACTTTTCTTTCTCTCTTTCTACTTCCTCTTTTCAGACATTTACTTTCTTTCTCTCTTTCTACTTCCTCTTTTCAGACATTCACTTTCTTTCTTTCTTTCTTTCCTCTTTTCAGACATTTTCTTTCTTTCTTTCTTTCTTTCTTTCCTCTTTTCAGACATTCACTTTCTTTCTTTCTTTCTTTCTACTTCCTCTTTTCAGACATTCACTTTCTTTCTTCCTCTTTTCAGACATTTCACTTTCTTTCTCTCTCTCTACTTCCTCTTTTCAGACATTCACTTTCTTTCTTTCTTTCTCTTCCTCTTTTCAGACATTTACTTTTCTTTTCTTTCTTTCTTTCCTCTTTTCAGACATTTCATTTCTTTCTTTCTTCCTCTTTTCAGACATTCTTTCTTTCTTTCTTTCTACTTCCTCTTTTCAGACATTTACTTTCTTTCTTTCTTTCTTTCTTCCTCTTTTCAGACATTCACTTTCTTTCTTTCTTTTTTTCTTCCTCTTTTCAGACATTTACTTTCTTTCTTTCTTTCTTTTCCTCTTTTCAGACATTTACTTTCTTTCTTTCTTTCTACTTCCTCTTTTCAGACATTCACTTTTCTTTCTACTTCCTTCTTTTCTTTCATTCACTTTCTTTCTCTCTTTCTACTTTCTTTTCAGACATTCACTTTCTTTCTTTCTTTCTTTTCCTTTTTCAGACATTCACTTTCTTTCTTTCTTTCTTTCTACTTCCTCTTTTCAGACATTCACTTTCTTTCTTTCTTTCTACTTCCTCTTTTCAGACATTTCTTTTCTTTCTTTCTTTCTTTCTTTCTTCTTTTTCAGACATTCACTTTCTTTCTTTCTTCCTCTTTTCAGACATTTTCACTTTCTTTCTCTCTTTCTACTTCCTCTTTTCAGACATTCACTTTCTTTCTTTCTTTCTACTTCCTCTTTTCAGACATTCACTTTCTTTCTTTCTTTCTTTCTTTTTCCTCTTTTCAGACATTCACTTTCTTTCTTTCTTCTCTTTTCAGACATTTACTTTCTTTCTCTCTTTCTACTTCCTCTTTTCAGACATTTACTTTCTTTCTCTCTTTCTACTTCCTCTTTTCAGACATTCACTTTCTTTCTTTCTTTCTACTTCCTCTTTTCAGACATTCACTTTCTTTCTTTCTTTCTTTTTACTTCCTCTTTTCAGACATTTACTTTCTTTCTTTCTTTCTTTCTACTTCCTCTTTTTAGACATTCACTTTCTTTCTTTCTTCTTCTTTTTCAGACATTTTTCTTTCTTTCTTTCTTTCTACTTCCTCTTTTCAGACATTCACTTTCTTTCTTTCTTTCTACTTCCTCTTTTCAGACATTTACTTTCTTTCTTTTCTTTCTTTCTTCCTCTTTTTTTTTTCTTTTCTTTTCTTTTCTACTTCCTCTTTTCAGACATTCACTTTCTTTCTTTCTTTCTACTTCCTCTTTTCAGACATTTTACTTTCTTTCTTTCTTTCTTTCTACTTCCTCTTTTTAGACATTCACTTTCTTTCTTTCTTTTTTTTTCTTTCACTTTCTTTCTTTCTTTCTACTTCCTCTTTTTTCATTCACTTTCTTTCTTTCTTTCTACTTCCTCTTTTCAGACATTTACTTTCTTTCTTTTCTTTTTTCTACTTCCTCTTTTCAGACATTCACTTTCTTTCTTTCTTCCTCTTTTCAGACATTCACTTTCTTTCTTTCTTTCTACTTCCTCTTTTTCAGACATTCACTTTCTTTCTTTCTTTTCTACTTCCTCTTTTCAGACATTTTACTTTCTTTCTTTCTTTCTTTCTACTTCCTCTTTTTTTCATTCACTTTCTTTCTACTTCCTCTTTTCAGACATTCACTTTTCTTTCTCTCTTTCTACTTCCTCTTTTCAGACATTTCTTTCTTTCTTTCTTTCTACTTCCTCTTTTCAGACATTTACTTTCTTTCTTTCTTTCTTTCTACTTCCTCTTTTTAGACATTCACTTTCTTTCTACTTCCTCTTTTCAGACATTTACTTTCTTTCTCTCTTTCTACTTCCTCTTTTCAGACATTCACTTTCTTTCTTTCTTTCTACTTCCTCTTTTCAGACATTTACTTTCTTTCTTTCTTTCTTTCTACTTCCTCTTTTCAGACATTCACTTTCTTTCTACTTCCTCTTTTCAGACATTCACTTTCTTTCTTTCTTTCTACTTCCTCTTTTCAGACATTTACTTTCTTTCTTTCTTTCTTTCTACTTCCTCTTTTTAGACATTCACTTTCTTTCTACTTCCTCTTTTCAGACATTCACTTTCTTTCTTTCTTTCTTTCCTCTTTTCAGACATTTACTTTCTTTCTTTCTTTCTTTCTACTTCCTCTTTTTTAGACATTCACTTTCTTTCTACTTCCTCTTTTTCAGACATTCCTTTCTTTCTTTCTTTCTACTTCCTCTTTTCAGACATTCCTTTCTTTCTCTCTTTCTACTTCCTTTTCCAGACATTCACTTTCTTTCTTTCTACTTCCTCTTTTCAGACATTCACTTTCTTTCTTTCTTTTTACTTCCTCTTTTCAGACATTTACTTTCTTTCTTTCTTTCTACTTCCTCTTTGCAAACATTCACTTTCTTTCTTTCTTTCTCTTTGTACTTCCTCTTTTCACTTTCTTATTTTCTTAATTTCTTCATTTCATTCTACTTGCTATTTTCATACATTTTCTTTCTTTCTTTCTTTCTTTCTTTCTTTCTTTCTTTCTTTCTACTTCCTCTTTTCAGACATTCACTTTCTTTCTTAATTTCTTTCTACTTGCTATTTTCATATATTTTCTTTCTTTCTTTCTTTCTTTCTTTCTTTCTTCTTTCTTTCTTTCTTTCTTTCCGATGCCCTTTATTTTCTCTTTTTTATCAGTTTTCTTTCTTTTTGGCACCCTCATTCACTTTCTTTTTCCTAATAATCCAATAATCAACCTTTGAACTCTGCTGCTACTGACATCCATCCACTTATATAAATATGGACGCCTTTCTTCCCATGCACACACGAGCTACTAATACACAATCGACACACTTACAAAAATGTGACATCCTACGAACACGAGATTTGCTACCCATAATACATCCTTCCCAACTTGCATCGATTCGTCGAAATATTTGGTTTAATTTGCAGCAGCATGCTAAAAAAGACAAAGAGGCAGAAATATTAAAAAACATAAAATTGAAAATAAGAAGCGTCCATCTTTAATATTATATCACTCTATTTTGACAGGTCTGGCCATCTATCAGACGACGTTCGCCGGCGCAGTACACTATGGAATCTTTTGCACCAAGACAGTCATATCGAAAGGCACACGCTTCGGGCCATTTAAAGGACGCATTGTGAACACCAGTGAAATTAAGACTCATGATGATAACTCTTTTATGTGGGAGGTGAGAAATAATCAATGTGACCTTCTCTTGTCTCTTGTCAACATTTTTATTTTTTGATCGACTCGTTTGGAGTGGGTATTTTGTTCCAGGGTGGATCATCGCCCCACCCATCTTTAGCACCCCCTCCTTGTCTCCTGCTTTTTTCAAATCCTTTTGCATCATTAATTGTTTTCATTTTCTTGTTTTTTAATTCTTTAATACATTCTTACTTTCTTGATCTTTTCTTTCTCTTTTTTTTATTTGCATTTAATCATATTTTCGATCTTTTTAAGAACTGTCTATTCTCGCTACTTACTCAAACTTATCGATAGCATTCTTTTTTCATGTTCTTATAATATCATCCATTTTTTTTCTTGTGATATTCCAGACAGAATAGCTTTATTCATCAACGCGTTGTGTTTGGCCCTGTCAGCATGTTCAATGTATGCTGAGTGAAATTTTAATAAGATTATTCCGGAATACGTCACCAAAATGAATCTTAGGAACAGCTAGAAAGAGCTTTTTTTCAAACAGGCGTAGAAACATTATTTTTAATAATCAATTTTAACTCACTTGGACTTTCCCATGCATAATATCAAATTACAGAAGTTCTTGGTAAAGATCGAATATATTGTCATTTTATTTGCGATTTCAGTATTCTGATCGTTGCTTTACATCGGCTGTTGAGAGTGAATAAGAAAAACAGAATACTTTAAACAAAAACAAGTTCTTTAAGCTCAACACTAACACTGTAGACATTTCAAAAAGGTTATTATTTTTTCAGTTAATTTTTCTTTTACTATTAGACATTGTTCGAATTTTCTGTAATGAAACCTTGCCATTATTATTAATTTTTTTATCACTTTTTAATATTATTTTTGATGTAGTACACATAATATTCTTAAAATGCCCGAATTTCTGAAATGGAGACTTGTTTCATCTTATATTTAAAGATCTTCCTGGGAGTTAATTAATGCTATAAAAACAGATATGTCTATTCAAATGAGAGAAAACCGACAGCCAGAAAAATACAATCAACATTAATGGCAGTTTCAAACAAGAAAGAGAACAGCGCACACACCAAGACAGACAGACAGACAGACACACACACACACACACACATATATATATATATATATATATATATATAAATAAAAAGAAAGAACAGTAAGATATATAATCTTTGAAACATGGTTAGAACTGTGTAGCGAAAAAAAACATATTTTAAATCAATTAATATATATATATATATATATATATATATATATATATATATTCTTAATTGCTGTTGTTTCAGGTCCTCACTGACCCAGGGTCACAGCTATGGACAAGTAGTGAACACCCAAACTAGGGTCAAAGCATGAAAATATAAAAATACCAGCAATACATTTCTGAAAAGAAATTACCAAAGCTCACAAAAAAGTAACAAAATTTCGGCATTAAATAACATGTAAGTAGTTGATATACCATTAAACAAACCACACACACACACACACACACACGTACACAGACACACATACACCCACATGTATATATATATTACATAATGCTATATAAACGGGGCGAGTAATATCTGAGCAGTACTAAAACAAGAATAAGACAATATAATCAGACCAGCAATCTGCCCTTGCAAAATGAATATAGTGTTTAGTTCAAAATTCCGTGAAGTTTACCTGCATCGGCAAGCAACTGATGAAGGTGAGGGGGAACAATGGTCGAAACGTTGTGATAATGAAAGCAAAAATCAATGACTGAGTGATTCGTTTTCTACTGCGTATCAACCCTTTGCAGGTTATTTAAAGTCAGAAAATATTTTTATATTGTAAGGATTTATTATTTTGGAGATAATAATTGTTTAGTGATAAAAGTCTTACTATTTAAACCATAACTGTGAGGGGGTGGAGGAGAAGAGGTGGATTCATACCTTTACTAAGGGTATTTGCGGGTAAGTGAATATAAGGAACGCAATTGGAATTGGAACTTATCTATCTGATTAACAATTCCGAGAAGTTATCATTATACCACCAGCACATCCAAGCTTACAGCACCTGGAATTCTCAAGCGGTCACCCATTTAGGTACTGACCAGGCTCGATATTGCTTTACTCCGTTGATCTTACGAGAACCGGTGTTTAAACATGATGTGGCGCTAAGTCAGTTTTTATATTTGCTCTGAAACAATTTAGTGGTTTAGATCAGAAATAAAGATTAAACTTCTAATGAGATTTGAACTCGCAATCTTAGTCTTTATTTATTCTACCTGTTGCTTACTTATCGAATTATTGACATTCGGCGGAGGCAGCCTCACAGTTTATTTTCTGATATCAGCGCAACACACATCCCACAGATATGTTTTGCTTTAAAGATTTTCACTGTAGAAGCTGAGTTAATATTAAAGGCACGGTGGTGATCTGCTGTGTCTTGCAGACCTATTCGCTCGGATAGCGAGTTCGATCCTCATTAGTTACCATACTACAAAAGTGCACAACTAAACTTAAGCATAGTGAATAAAGAATAAACTTAATTTTACTAAGGGTCAAAGACAGCATCGAACCCCCAATACCTTAGATGCATATTCACAGCACCATGTGGAAATGTGTAGCAAAATCTGTAAATCCAATCCTGGTTTGAAAAGACACATGAAAGGTCCATGGGGATGATGCACCACACAAGCGCCGCGGTAATAAAACGCGCGTGCGGCGCCGTTGCGATGAGTGCGGTGACAACGGATGTATTTTCATTCAGAGGAGTTGGTTATTAACTGGGGTTGCGAAAAATCTCATCATGAAAAATGGACCAGAAATAAAAACACAAGAGAGGAATTGAGTTAAACAAATATATTAACAGAAACAGTAATACAAACATATACAAACGAGAGTGTTACAGCAAGAACGTTCGGCCCGACTGTCAGAGCTGACTGCTGGAAACTTTCCTCTCTAAAAGGCAGTACCTGCTCCTATTTATAGCTGGGAGAGTCCCTGCGTGCGTGGGTAAATTACCATAACAGAGTCAATTTTTTATGTCAAAATAACAAAATATCATCTTTGACGGTGGATATCTTTGTTTCATGTCTGTATAATCACTCTGAGGATGGAAAGCTTAGGACCAACTTAATAAAAAAATATCCAATTGTTGGACAATTTTTGTCTTTATTTTCACCAGAAATTAAAGCAAACATTCGAACGTTAGAACGGCTCCTGATCAGACATAATAGATATTCATTGTCTGTTATATTTAATAATATGTGATTAAATATATGTATTTGTATTTACAACCCTCAATATTTACTCGAAGAAGAGAAATATATTGAAAATACTTTCAAAACCCTTCAATATCCTATTTCATATTCAATGCGTAACAAAGGGCTCATAAAATATTCCAAAATAGAACAGCGGCCCCACCTGACAAACCCAATAAATAAAAAGAAATATTTTTTTACCCACTAACTGTACCAAAACTACAATCGAAAAGAATTTATCTAAACACATCATAAAATTTGTCACAACTACATGTAAAACAACAAAAGACTTAATCAATATAAAACAAAACAACGAGCCAAAACACGAAAGAGTAATTTACTCTATCACCGGCAAAGATTGCCAGAAAGACTATATTGGAGAAACCTCAAGAAGTTTAAAGAAAAGATTATATGAACATAAAAGAGATATTTTTCAAAAACAACACATTAAACGCATTAGTTGTTCACCGTAACGAGAATAACCATAAACAAGAAGAAAAAGGATCTAAATGAAATCGGCTAGATTATATACGCAAAACATATTAAAAAAAATCTAAATTTAAAATTTTCAACGCCCCTCGTTCGTGCGCATGTGTAGTCGCACCAACGTAAATAAACCTAGTCTGATGAAGTTCTAAGGGACAAAACGCGTCACACGAAAACATTTTCCACTTTGTCATAAAAATTATATATATTATATTGATATATAAAAATGTATATATCTTTATCCCCCCACTCTCTCTCTCTCTCTATATATATATATATATATAATATATATATATATATATATAGAGAGAGAGAGAGAGAGAAATAGATAATGTGTACATAAGAATCAGCACAACATAGACAATGTTCAGTTTCACGCTTCTGTAAAGTTTCTATCGATATTGACCACTCTTCCCCCATAAATATAGCAAATCTTATATAAAATCTGACCAAATGGCCAGACATGCTTCTTGGTCGGGGCGAGAACTTTTCCTTGGGTAATATTGAATCAGTAAGTCCGTTACCTGACGTAAAATATCAGTTACATTTTAATCTGAAATTTTCAATATGTAATGATGGAGGATAACAAGGAAAGATGGACGGTAAAAGGAAAATAGTGGAAGAGAAGGAAAATGTCAGAACAAGAGAAAGAAAAAAAAATGTGAAAGAGAAAGAAAGGGAGAGGAAAACGTGTACATGAGAGAAAGAGAAGGGAAATATTTGGAATATGGATTGAGGGGAAAAGGAAGCAGAACTATACAAGAAAAGAAAAAGAGAGGGTGAAGGAATGACAGTAAGTGGGTGAAGAGTAATTAAGATAGAGAAACACCAAAGCGAAAGGAGAGAGAGAGACAGAAAGAAAGAAAGAAAGAAAGAAAGAAAAAGAAAGAAAGAAAGAGAAAACAGAGTAGGGATACAGAGAAAAAAACGTTAAAAATTATTAGGGTTAAATGAAATGAAAACTGAGGACGAGTGATTAAAAGCAAGCAAGGAGACAATACTCGAGTAAGAGAAAAAAAGTAAAAATGCAGGAGGGTGAGGGTGAAAGAAACAGAAAATTTAAAATTGATCAATTTTGATTGGCCAAAGAAGGAAAAAGACAGACAAGAGATTAATGAAGTATTGGGGGAGTGAGAATGGTCAAAGAAAATAATAAATCTTCGATGAATTAAAGCGAAAGATAGAAGAGTATAACGTGGAAAGAGAAAGAAAGAAAGAAAAAAGAGAGAGAGAGAGAGAGAGAGAGAGAGAGAGAGTAGCATGATCAAAGAAGATAAAGAATATAGAAGGTATTCGAGAAAGAGAGACAAAGAAAAGATGTCCTTTGACTCCGATGTGGCCGAGCTAATTATACAAGATCAATCAAGTGTGACGCAGTTGGCTCGAAACCTGAGTGGCCAGTGTGCACTCATACCTAATTATGATCACAATGGCCACCCATTCACAAAACGGGTTGACGATGACACTCACACATTCCTCTTTCTCACGTCTCAAGGGGTCTTGCCGGTCAAGATGAGATGAGCATGCGCAGTTCAGAACATCAGTTCGCCATTTTGCTTTCATGACGTTTAGCCACTTACTCGCATTGATGCAGAGGCGCGCACAGTAGCAAATTATCTATACTATTATTGAAAGAGCTAGCCAATGGGAGTGTGTGTGACAAGTAAGTGTTTACAGAGGGAGAAAGAAGCGGAGGCTACGAATACGAAAGGAGAGTAATCATCTAAGGAGAGATTAAAACTGTAAGCCTTCTCTTCTCAATAAAGGATTTTCAATTTATGCTTGTTAGCATTGCATGGTAATGGTGCGATCATGTTGCGCTTTGATTTGTTTTCGTCTCTAAGCTATTGATGCAATATTCTTAGTATTGTATTTTGAGAAAGGAACAGGAAGCGGAAGTTACCACTTCAACCATTTCTATCTAGTTGGACGAATTCAAATTTTATTGATTGTACTCTCATTAGAAACAAAGAAAAGAGTACTGAACAGTTATGTAATATCAGTCCTCCTATATGACAGTGAATGCTGGATATTCTCCTTACAAATGAAGACATTGTACCTGAAGTGTGTCTTACCTTCACTTTACAGTGTATCTCATTTATATACGGTATTTACTTGACCCCCCCACCCCGAGGTCAGGTTGTGATACAACGTCTGTTTAATGTGGGGAGCCCGAGCGCGTGCACCCCGACAAGGAACAAAAATTCCCCGAGCCCCCGCAACCGTCGGTTGCGCTGGCCTCGGTGCGTGCACTGATCCTTCTCTCTAGTGCAATCAGAAAGCGCGGCCTCGGGCAGCTGTTTCCCAGGGCCAGGCACCTCTCAGTAAAATTTTCCTCAGTTGCGACTCTGTCCATTGACGGAGTCGCCCCTGAGCGCACTCTGTCCAAGGACAGAGACGCAACTGAGAGATGTATCCCATTTATATACCAACTATTGTTGGAAATACTAAGGTACTCATTTGACATGAATGCATGCACCAAGAAAATCCAATCAAAGGTTAACTATTCATTTGTAGTGGGGAGCATTAGGGTTGTGTTTTGATACTCAAGTGTGTAGCAACCCCTAAAATTTTGGGAACCCTGAGTTAAACCGTGGCATATAATTACAAATGTTCTGCAAACTGAGATCATCTCTCCAGGCCGATATTATCAAGAACTTATCTACTTGACAGATCAACAATGGTGAGATTCGAACTCCAGTCTCACGACCAAAACGCTCTAAACTCCGTGGGCATTGATATACAGGGTGGCCCCCAAAAACGGGAATTTTTGAAGTTCGTATTGCCAGACATGAGCAAGTGGCAACACTGCGAGACAGTGACCTTGAGCAAGTAAACATTTCGTCATTTAGAATTCAAAATGAAATTCACAGTATTCCAGCTGAGATGTTGCAGCAGTCAATGAGGTATCTCAACAGCAGATTTCAAGAATGCATTCGTACAGGAGGACGCCATCTACAGGACGTGATTTTTAAAAAATGAAAATTCCATCATTGTTTCTTAAATGGCATGTTTTAAGGTTTCAATTGCTATGAATAAAATATTTTTCTTCCATCACTCTTGGTTTTATTGGATTGTTAAAAAGTTCCCGTTTTTTGGGTCACCCTATATAATTGAATCCTATGCAGTAAATATAAGTGTTACCAATGAAGACCAATCCTGTGTTCTCCATTTTTTTTGTCTCCATCTCTCTCTCTCTCTATTTATACTTGTCTATCTGACATTGTTATTTGAATGGCCATCGGAAAATTCCACTGCATAATGAAATATGAATGTGATTAACATTTACCACTGTACATTGAAAAGGAAGGAGATTATGTTGAAAAATAAATACTTTAAATTCATGTAAAACAGAGACTTGAATTTATAGGCTACGAAATTATTTGCATGTATATGAATGCTAGGAGATGCTTAAATGT